AAAAAAACTACTGTCAATTGGGTTAAAACACCTTTATAGGTTTGACTAAAAGATCATAAATTCAAAATCCCACTTCCACTTGATGTTTATTGGAGGCTATTTATCTCATGTCAAGTGTCAATATCACGTGCAATCTCTGGTTGAATAATAAGATGACTCAATCGCATCTTTCGGGTTGATACAAGTCTTGATAGCTTGGCAAGTTAAACCCGAGTCGGGCTACATGTTACCTTTCGAGCAAACTTTCAATAGGTACGAGTTGACCTTGAAAAGCACCCGCGGACACAAAGATAACAAGAGGATGTTCTTCGACAACATGCCTCATTTTCCGATCGGTCGAAGAGTCGTTGGAGTGTTGTTGGGAGTCCTCACAAAAGCTCATTTTTATAAATAGAGACCTCTGCCTCCTACGCAAGGTATGCGAAACTATTTTTTTTTACAGGATTAGATCGGATTGTGTACTAACTAAAATGTTGGAGTGCTAACTTTGTTTCGCAGGTACTTCGAACTTTGATACTCTACCTCCGAGCTTGATCAAGTTCAATATCAAATAATGATATTGTATTTTAAAAAAAATTGAAATCAATGAATATTTAGAATGATAATAGTTAAAAAGTGTGTTATCCATGGAAAACGAACTATATTCAAATTTGGTAAGAAATTCAATCTTATAACCTGACAGCTCATAAAGTGGCAGATATAAGGTTGTTTTTAAATTTTGTCCAATATAAAATGCACATTTTAGGTTATATAATAACGAAATTAATAATAATTATCATTTAAGCAGTAATTAATTAAATTTGAAACAACAGTCCACAGTACACGGTCCAACGAGGAGATGAATATCGACTGGCCGGCTTCTAGGTTTTCCCACCAGACTTCCCTCTTCTTCTTCTTCTTCTTCTTCTTCTTCTTCTTCTTCTTCTCGGACCTGTCTGAATTTCAATCGGAGGAATGCGATCATGAAACCCCTGCTTTGTAGATTTTGTCGGCACAGCTCCAGATTTCGGGGCACCAACCGATGATACAATACGCGATCACCTTGATCCTCGGAGTTCCGTACGCCATTGGCATTGTACAGCTGATCAGGTAATAGTTTCCTCTGTATTCCGAGTTTGTTCTACTGTTGATGACTCGTGATGTTCTGATGGGGGAAACTGATCTTGATGGTGAGAATTTTTTGTTTTGGAGACGATCTATTTGCGCGGTGGTGGGATTTTGAGTTGAATTTCGTCTGTTGGAAATGGTTTCTTGCAGTTTGACTTTGGTAGACATTGTTGATATTAGTTATAACCGGATTTTCTACCGTAAGATGCGTAGCTTGAAGTTTGGTGTTGGGTTTTAGGTGTAATAGTGAACTGTGGATGATTTTTTTGTTGGATTGTAGGTGAATATGCACTCAAAGTTAGTGGTCATGGAGGACGGCAAGGAATTTAGCACTGTAGTTAAGATAAATCAAACAAGATATCCTACAATGAGGTTTCTTCAGTTTTTCTTGATGTTCATAGTGCTGAGTCTTGGGGTTTCAATTATTAGTATCAATACAATTAGATATTTTGGAGTTCGAAGTGCTGCCCCTGTAGTATCGTCGGTCAATATCATTCAGCCTCGCTTGGAGGAGCCAAGCGGCATAGATAGTTGGATTAGGCCTCCTTCAAATCTTCTCCATAGCATGAGTGATCAGGAGCTGCTGTGGCGGGCTTCCTTTGTTCCTCAAGTGAGAGAGTATCCCTTCAAGAGAGTTCGCAAGATTGCCTTTATGTTCTTGACAAAGGGGCCTTTGCCCATGGCCCCTCTTTGGCAACGGTTCTTCAAGGGTCACGAGGAGCTTTACTCGATCTATGTTCATACCTCGCCATCATACGTTGCTGACTTCCCACCTTCATCAGTATTCTACAGAAGACATATCCCAAGTCAGGTACCAGTAATTGTTTCTTTTTATATTTTCTTGAAGAAAAAGAACCATTTTGGTGTTTCTTTTAGGTCTTGTTTGATTTATTTCATCAAAAAGCAAGAAATTTCTGAAAACTGAAGATTTATGTGGTTATTCACCAATTGGAACTTGGATGGTGTTTAGCGATAAATTCAATGGATAATTGCCTCTAAATGATGATAGTATAGTATTTTTAAGTCATGTTTATCACCTGCCCTTCTGTCACTCGGTTTTACAGAACTTGCTTGCTTTGTTTGGTCCATGCTTTACCTAACAGTTCCAAGAGTTTTTGTCTTCTTTCCTCTGAGGGCATCCTTTTAGGCTGAGGCTAAGTGTCGTGTCTTAATTTTTTTTTTGTCTTAATTTTTTTTTTTTGGAATCCGTGTGTCCGAGCCAGCTTGCGCGCACCTCGACTAATCACGGGTCAACCGCCTGACCCTACTACATTTGGTTGATAAAGTAACTCGTAGGATATTAAATCCTAGGTAGGTGGCCACCATGGTTTGAACTCATTCCCTATAAGTCGTTTACTATTTACAAAGGTCATCATTGACCACTTGAGCCATCACATGATGGTTAAGTGTCGTGTCTTAATTTCATCGGAACATTCTTGTGGATCTTTTGGGGTTAGAAAGAAACAACTAAAGTTGAAAAGGAGAGAACTTTTTCAAGCTTGTAGGATGATCATATTGTTTTTGTTGCTTTGTCCTGGTCCAAATTGTCCAAGTCTGCAGAAATGTTTCAAATTGTTAATTTAAGATTCGTTTCATACTTCATACTGATGCTTACGCTGTCAGAGAATACATAATTGAAAAGCATTTTCTTTTCAACCTAGAATAATGGATTGAACTCCTAGTGAATCTTTTGATCGCAATTTTCTTTTCAACTTGGTACTCCGTAAAATAACTGTTTGACTGTTTGCATGCCTCAGATTGAACTTTTCATCTTTTACTTTGTTCTCATCATTTTTTGTAAATAAACTCTTCGCTCGTCTAATGAGAATTAGTATATTCACATGGTTTTCTCCGGGTAGGTCACAGACTGGGGCGAGATGAACATGTGTGATGCTGAGAGGAGAATGCTAGCTAATGCATTGCTTGATATCTCCAATGAATGGTTTATTCTCCTGTCCGAGGCTTGCGTTCCTCTCCACAGCTTTACCGTAGCCTATCGCTACATTTCAAGATCCCACTACAGCTTTGTGGATTCATTCGACGAGACAGGACCCTACGGAAGAGGTCGCTACAACAGGAACATGGCACCTGAGATTAACCTCACTGACTGGAGAAAGGGTTACCAGTGGTTCGAAGTAAATCGCAAACTTGCAGTGAAGATAGTTAAAGATACAACATTCTACCCTCTGTTCAAAGAGTTCTGCAAACCGGCTTGCTATGTCGATGAACACTACTTCCAAACAATGTTGAACATCGAATCGCCAAATCTTCTGGCAAACAGAAGCCTCACGTTTGTTGACTGGTCCAGGGGAGGTGCTCATCCTGCTACATTTGGGAAGTATGATATCACAGAAGAGTTTTTTAAAAAAAATTTTGAGTAAGACATGTCTTTACAATGATCAGCCTTCTTCTCTTTGTTTTCTTTTTGCTAGAAAATTTGCTCCCAGTGCTTTGGATCCTTTATTAGAAGTAGCTCAAAAAGTTATGGGGTTTTGACAAAATATAGGCATCTGAAATTCTTGCTTTTAGGAGGTTCTAATCTAATGAGACATCTCATAATTCTAAGTTTACTGACTGCAGGATTTTCCCCCTTAGTATCCAAAAATGGTCTCTGCTCTCGTTCTTTTTTTAATAAATTATATAGGTTAGAATATTATTTTGGCCGAAGCTTCAGCTTTAGTTCATTTTAGTCTCTATATTTCAAAATGTTCATTTTGGTTTCTATATTTTGAACTTTGATTTATTTTAGTCTCTATATTTTTAAAATGTTTGTTTGGTCCCGTACTTTTAAAAAGTAACAATTTTGGTCCCTTAATTTTATTTTTAATCTCATTTTTCTATCACAATTTCAACGTGACACTACTTTCAATATATTTTTTGAAATGTAATCATGATTGTATATTAAAATTTGTGTAGACTTTATGTTAAATTTTGTACATAGAGATCAAAATGATTATTTCTAAAAACTATAGGAACCAAAATAAATATTCTGAAAATATTGGGACTAAAATGAATTAGAGTTGAAAGTTCAAGAATCAGAATAACATTTAGATTTAAAAGTATAAGGTAAAGTTGACCAAGCTAAAAGTAGACTAAAATAGTATTTTAACCAATTATATGAGAGTTTTTTATTTGATATATCGTGTGGGATTCGAGATATGTGCTTTTAACAGTTGAACCGAATTTGACTATTTAAGATATATATATTCTATTAAAATATTTAAGGTTCAAATTTTCATCTCCATGTAATACGTTATTCATTTTAGAAATCATATAATTATGGATCCACCCTATAAGGACTAAATATTGAAGATATTATAAAAATGTTTGTGCGTGGCTTAGGTAAATTTGATTTTGGCATCAGGTTCTTCGAATGCCACGTCATAACAATATAATAAAATGTGAGTGGAAAGCTATTATTCTTTCCCTTTACTTTTAAGTTTTAAATATTATTTTAATCTTTGTCTTTTTTATCTTTGTTAATTTTAATTTTTTATTTTCAAAATGTTTGTTGGTGTGTTATACTTTTAAAAGGTGACTGATTTAATTTAGTGAGAGAAGTGTTAAAGTAATGATTGAAATAGGTGAGATAAAGATAAAAATGAAGGTTTTTATTAAAGTACATAAATTAAAATAGCATTTTGAAAGTTCATTTATTTTGAAAGTTTATAAATCAAAATGAACTGAAATCAAAATTAGAAAAACTAAAATATTTGTATTTAAACATAATTTTAAAAAGAAAAGAAGAGGATATTTTCCCTGTAATCCCATCGATTTGTTTTTGGTATTGTCATCAATCTAACAATCAAAACCAATATATTTTTAACATGATTGCAAAGGTCGCGGATTCAGATCATCCCATTGTCTTAGTTTCTAGAATTTGAAAATTCTAGTTTTTTTCGCAAATGATCATTGTTATTCAAATCTATCCCGAGGAAATGTACAGAAATCTTCTCCGATTCTTGGAATATTTTGGCTGATTGATTTCTAGTAGTTACAACAACAGATGACAGCTTAAATGAAAAGAACAGAATACAGATGCTCAATGAGATTTCGATAGTGTTTTACAGCTTTTAACCTCTTCAGAACATTTAATCGAGGGGGTCGATAAGTAACTTATAATTCGTCATGTCGTTCTTGTTTCGGTGAAGTAACTTGTGACTGGAACTCAATAAGATATCTTGTAGCCAAAGATGCATGAAGAGCTGCACCATAAGGAAGTGCGTCTTCGTTGATACGGAAGTAGGGCGAGTGCACGCAATCGAGCCTACCCATCGCTTCGTTCTCCATTCCAAGGAAGAAGAAGTACCCTGGGATCATCTCTTGGTAAAACGAAAAATCTTCAGATCCCATAATTGGCGGCATTTCCTTCACCTTATCAATGCCAACCATGTCTCCTGCAACGTTTTGGAAGTAACCATGCAAGCCTTTATCATTTATGGTTGGAGGGAATATCGGTTTCTCTTTCTCGTAAAAATCAACGGTCGCATTGCACCGATGCACGGAAGCTTGTCCAACGATAACCTATAGAAGGAGCAAATAAGACTATCATGTTGAAAATATCAACATATTAAGATGGTAAGAGTGACAATGACTCACATTACTTTAATAGTAATCCTAAACATCATTCGATTCTCAGAAATCTAGTATCGAATGCTCGATATTTTCAGGAAACGAACTAGCTGAAGTACTAGGTGAAAAGTGTTCACTTTACAACTAAAATTTTTGTACGTACCTCTTTAATACGTTGCTTAAGTTGAATCATACTATCCTTCAAGAAACCTCGGAAAGTGCCACCGATTGTAACAGAATCTGGAATTACATTGAATGCGCCACCTCCTTGGAACTTGGCAACTGTTACTACCTGCACATTTCACTGTGTAAATGAATTTCTCATTTTCAAATCAAAGCAAACAATTATTGATTGTGATTGCAACCTTGAAAACATATTTAGAGGCAGAAGATTGAGCACAAGGCTAATGCAGCAACCACCCAACAAATAAATGTATTAACACAATAAACAAGTACCTAGAGTGGTTTGTAATTCCTTTCTATAGGTTTTGTGGAGTTTCTCAGTAAGGCTCTCATGAAATATTTAATAACCCAATAAACAAGCTACATAATTCCTTATTGATTAAAACAAAACCGGAAAAAAATGGTTTACCTGTGAATCTAGAGGATCGGCTTCCCTTGAAACAAGATGTTGTAAGCTCACAATCACATTAGAAGCAGCCAAAATTGGGTCTATGGAGTGCTGAGGAATGGCGGCATGGCCTCCTTTTCCGCTGATAACTGCTTCAAAGAAGCCACTTCCAGCTAACATCGGTCCCGGTCGTCCGGCGACTTCACCGAGAGGTATATTATGAGCGATATGCAGCCCAAAGATAGCATCGACATTGTCCAACACCCCAGATTCTATTATTTTCTTAGCACCTCCACCTCCTTCTTCAGCTGGTTGAAAAACTAGTACCACTGTTCCCTGTTGAGAGTGGATGAAAATCAAAGCAAACCACCAACTACATTAGCTAGAGTTAACTTTTCTAAAGGTGAAAAAGTTATGAATATATCCACCTCACAAGTGGGAGGGGGGTGGAGAACATCTATGTTTTCTTTTATTCCTCCCCTACTGGGGTGAAGAGGGAAAAGAATTTTCAATCATCTTTTCTAACATCAGAATTCAGATCTTCCAGAAGACATTTAATTGTGACCCCCCAACTTCACAACTACCACCCATCTAAATACGCATATGTTTAATATCTCTAGGAATCATACTTGCCAACACGTTTGTTAGTAGAAGCTCCTACCAAATTTCTCGTGTGGCATCCTTTTATTGGTATATTTCTATTTTAATTGATAAGTGGATCCCACTAAAACTTTTGAGCCAACAAGAATACACTACATCTGAACCTTGGAGCTCCTATTGACCCACGTATTCTCCTATCTTTAGCAAAGTCAATCAAATCATGAGCTATGCACCTTAAACACACCAATTTGGTGCCAATATCAGCTAAAGTAAGGTAAGTTAATATATTTAGCAACGATAAAAATATCTATCCAACATAGAAGTTTCAAGTAATAAAACAAGAAGTGTATGCAACCAAACAATTAGCAAACCTAATATGATTCAGTTTATAACATAAACTTCAAGTCATGTTTTCTAATTTTAAAAACTTCTTCCAACAAAAAATGTGATGCACATCTACATAACAAGAAAATAGTTTATAGATCTTACGAACTAATGACAGAAGGTTAATTGTGGAAGATTCAATTCTACAATCTTGATCTCCAGAGTCAAATTAGTAAGCTGGCTATCTCATAAGAAAAAATGTACAGAACCGAATTATCATTCAACACAAATAATCACAGAGCAATACCTATACTCAAAGACATGAAAATCTGGATCCTAAATTAAGCATAAACGTGAACAGGATATCCTTCCCACAAATACTCTTTCCAATTGTTGATAAGATCCAAGAAATTTTAGAGAATGGAAACTTCTATCTCTTAATTTATAATTTCATTACTTCAAAAAAAAAAGAAAAAAAGGAAGAAAGAAAGCCGCGAGATGCATACTTTCAACTCTTCTTTATGTTTCTGGAGGATCTTTGCAGCACCTAAGGCCATCGCAACATGGGCATCGTGACCGCAAGCATGCATCTTCCCAGGAACCTTACTCTTATGCTCCCACTCCACCAATTCCTGGAAAAAAGTTGCTGTTTTATTCATTGTCGAAGCATCAAAAAATGAAGAACAGAGATTTAGACGATAATTGATGTTCTGGCATATGATCAAACACCTGGAGGGTGAAATTCACAGTACATTGAACAATCAACTATGAGTAATCAATCGATTAAATGAGTTCTATAAGTCAACCAATCGATTAAAACCTGCATAGCAAGAGCATCCATATCTGCTCGAATGGCGACAAAAGGGGGCTGACCAGAACCGACGAATCCGATTACTCCAGTCCCCGCAACTGGGTATTTGTAAGAAATGCCCAACTTATCCAACTCTGCTCTAATCAGCTTACTGGTCTCGAATTCCTCATAACCGAGTTCTGGGTTCTCGTGAATTTTCCTCCGGACTCCCACCATCCAATCAAACAGCTCCGGTTCCTTGGCAAATCGGAGGAACTCCTTGGGGATTTCCGCGAGCTTATTTGAGTCGGAGGAGGAATCTGAGTGCACCAATTTTGAGAAAAACAAATGGACGATCAAAATCCAAGATACCCACCTGAGAGAAGCCATGTTTGATTGGCTTCCCCGCAGAAATAAACTAATAGAGAAGTGATTCGACAGGAAAAAAAAAAGGCGAAAAAGGAAGAAACTAAGAAATGGGTGTTGTTAGGTAGGAATTGGATTAAGAAGAGCCGCAATGAAGAACTTGAGAGCGGTGGGAGAGAAGCTTAAATCGCGATGTCCCCAACTTCCTAGTTCCTAAAAATATTAAAGGTTATCAACTTCCTACAAACAAGACCCTTTTGCAGTTTTGAGACATTACCAGAGTGGCGGCCGCACCTTTTCGTCCACGTGCTCACTCCCATTTTTTCACGTTTTGTTTTTTTTTGGCGGTTTTAAAACCAATTTGCTTTCTCCACGACAACCGACCGTCCGTTTTCGTTTACTGTTTCTTGTTTTTTATTTCTATCGTCAATTTTTTAAAGCGGGAGGACGGCTGTCTCTTATCTAGCACAATTAGATAGAACACATTTACTCGAATTACCATCTAGAAACTAGGTATTGACTCCGAGCCATACTTTTGGAATCTCTTTCTCTCCAACAAAGAAACTAAAACTTATTCCTATCAAGAGGAATCGAACTTGATATGACTACTCTCTGTCAATCTCCACAAATTGATATAACTTGTCTGGTTCACCTTCGAATACTTTTGTTTTATATGAGGTCCATGAGTACTTAGACTATCGTTCTAATATTAGTTGTTAGGAACAATTGTATACCAAGTATTTATACAATATTGTCCACTTAGTATAACTCTCGTAACTTTGCTTTTTGGTTTTACCTCAACTATTGGAGAACTATTTCATATTCAATTCGAATTTTGCTTCTTATTTTCAGATTCACAAAATCAAATGAAATAAGTTAGTATTTGTGATTATATAATTCAAATAGTGTAAATTATAAAAAACAATATTTTTATATTTTATGTTCCCTTCAGATTTCAACTTGAAACTTTAAAATTCATAATTACGTTAAAAAAGAAAGGTAAAAATTTTATAAATTCATTATTATATCATATCGTTTGATGTCTGACATTTCAGGGGTCTCCATGCCTCGCTATACCATTTTTTAGTTTACTCGACACTTAAGCCCCTTTGATTTCCGAAAAAAAAATTATGTAAAATTTATAATATATAGGTTAATTAATTGACTCATTTACAAATATTACTAAACACTCCTTTGAATAATGTTTAAATTGAAATTCAATTTTCAAATCTATTATCAAACATATCTTTGAAAACAAATACAAAATTGTTTTCCATTGAATTTATTGTTTTTAGATTTCTACTTTCACATGACCAATCAAACAAACACATGATAAACATTTGGTTATTGCTATTGTTTATCACTTTTCATTTATTTTCAAAATTGTGTATAAAATTTGCAAACAAATTTTGTTGTTTCTTACCCTATTTCCAAAATTTTTATGAGGTATAAATAAAATCACTATTTTATCCATTTATAAAAATACATAATAGATATTTTTAATATAAATAAACAATAAAAAAAATTTACTATTTAATTTAAAAATTAAATTTCATACAAAATTTTTACTTTCTAATTTAAATTTATTGATAATAAAAAACCATAAATTATTAACAACTATGTTTTTTTTTCCTTTTTTAATAATAAAAAAATAATAACAATAACTAGTTACTAGATGTAATTTTACTTTTCTTTATTAAAAACTAAAAAACGAAAAACAGCAAATAGGAAATAAGAAATGACAAACAATAAAGGGTTGTTTGTTTTTCGGAAATGTAGATGTCCGACATTTATAAATGTATAGTATTTCAGATGCCCAAAATTTTAGATGTCCGACATATTTCAGATAACCTACTTTTGTTTTATTTTCTTTATTTTTTGTCTATTTATTCATTTTATCTCAAAATTTGCTCTATCACTATTTTCACCACAACTTTATTTTTCATCATTTGACGCGTGACATATTTGGATAAGAAGTCAAAAATCGGAGTTTTGTTCCCGAGATGGTAAGTTTCTACATTGTTATCGAATAAAGTAGATTGATGTATTTTCTCATATATTGTTTTTGTCTACCTATGATCCAAGCATAAGTTTAATTCTTTCAACATTATTTTTAGGATACGTTTTTTCCCTTGTTTTATTTCGCCTTATTCTTTTTTTATACTCATTGCTAATTTCATATTATGGTTGCTTGAACTATTTGTAACATGTGATTTTATTAATTATCTTTTTAAGATGTTTATTTTGTTTACAAGAGAAGAAATGCCTCCCAAAAATAATGTTGAAATAATTGAACTTGTACTTGGAACGACATAAGAAAGTATATCAACCTACTTTATGAAAACTTATAAGAAAGTATATCAACCTACTTTATGAAAACTTACCGTCTTGAAAAAAACTTCATTTTTTGCCTTCTTTACTCAAATGTGGCGCGAGTCAAACAATCAAGGGAAAAAATTGGGGGGAAAATAGTGATAGAGTAAATTTTGAGAGAAAATGAATAAGGAGAAAAAAAGTGAATAAAATAAAACAAAATTAGTAACCAAAAGGAATAGAAAAAGATAAAAGAAGTTATGGCGAGTAGAAGAGAAGGGAAAAAAAAATAGAGAACGAGAGAGATACCGTGTAATAAAATATGAAGAATGAGTACACGGTGGAAGAGAAATTTATGGAAGAATGATAAAATAACAAATCGAGAGAAAAAAGAAAGGAAACAGAACGTTAAGAGAGAGAAAACAAATTGAGTAGTAGACCTCGTTTTTTCACACGTGTTTCTCCGCCCAAAACATATCCACCTAGTTCCTAATGATAGTGAATTCAAACCCTCCACTTTTTTAGTAAAAGATCACACAATTAAATCAAATGATAAAAATATTTTTTTTATTAATGAGTGGAATATTTTTTTTTAAAAAAAAGAAAAAAGTATTATGATCTCAAGTATTAATTAAAATTTTTTATTTTTATTCGTTAAATTAAATTAACACTTTTACAGCTAAGAAATATTTTGTTTTATTTTTATTAAAAAAGTTATTTGGAGAAAACATGGAAATTCACATTTAATCAAAAATTATTTTTGATTTTATTACTTTTTATTTAGATTTGATTTTGAAAAAAAAAAAATAGGGATATCGATATTTAAACTAAATATTTTTTATTTTCTTTTGATAAAACACAGAGAAAAATTTACTATAAAATATAAATAAAAATTCTACCAGAAAAATTACTACAAATTAAATAAAAAACGAATGATAAAATCGAATACCGAACAAATTTAGGATTTTTTTTAAACATAATTATTAATAAATGTCTTTAACCCAATATAAAATTATTATCCAGGTCAACTATTACATGTTCATTGGATGATCCGGTGAGTATTGTTGATTCTTTTTATATTATATATATATATATTGTTTAGACTGATTTGGCGAGTATTATATGTATTATAATAATTATTTTTATGTGTATTTGGCATAATTGAAGTATTTTTTGACTTGTTTGAAAAGTTTTGAGCCAATTTGATCTATTTTAATTTAATGGTTAATTTTTTTAAATAAAATTTAATGGTTATTATTACTAAATATATTTTGAGATTATTGATTCTGAAGAAGGATTAATGTCTATGAAGATTGACAGAAATAAATATAGGTATACGGTTGAACTTTCCAAGCAAATAAACCCTACAACCTTCCATTAAAAAAAAAAAAAGCTTTACAATTTAAAATTTGAATCAATTTTAAAAATAACTTAAATACTAATAAAATATATAAATAGCATCTAGATTCTATAATAAATACAAAATGAAAATCGCTTACACGTGATTTCCTGACGTGGCAATCCCTAGATTTAATATGCTATTTTTTACTTTGATCAACCCTGCCCTAATTTTGTCAGCAATTTTCATAATTACACTCATTTTTAAATTTCTTATTTAATTTACCTTCTTTATATTACTTTGAAATCTAGATTGTTTTTTAACCAGCATTATTCTTAAAATTATTCTAAAATTAAAACAAAATAAGTATAAACGGCTGTAGTGAAAAAAGATATATATATATATATATATATATATATATATATATATATACCTGATGAAAAAAAAATATATATATAGATATATAAACGGTTAGGGACAACGTCTGATATGATTAAAAAAAGGAAAGCAAACTATATCTTTAAATAAACCCATTGGAATTATTCCAAAATATATAAGCCCTCTCTGTACAATACGTGATTAACAAGAAACGACCTAATTTAATTCGTTTTCTACTCCGTTGATTCTCTGCTTCGTTAGAACTTGGAAGAAGCGCCATCGAAACTACCGGCAAGGTGAAATTTTTCTGTCAAATTTTCTTCATCTTTTCACAATTCATCCCAATTTTGATGCAACGCAGCTTTACGTTTATCTGTTGTTTCTCTCTGCATGTAAAGCTGTGAAGGATATTGGGAACCAATGCGTTTGTTTCCCGAGAAAATGTTCGAATTTAATTCCCGCTTATTGTTGTTTGTTGCTGTAATGGGGATCGAGTTGCGGGTTACTGTTTCTGATCTTTGAATTCTGGAATACTTGCAGTGACTTGGTCTTGCCGTCTTGCAATTTAGATTTTGCTACATTCAATTAGACGTAAACCTAATAATTTGTTGCCTTGCCCCCAAATTATATTGCTCCGAATTTATTGTCTGATCATTCTTGATGCGTGGTTTCCGTTGATACACTGATTAGCGAGGTTTTATGATGTTGAATTTGATAAAATTTGAATGTTTTTCAGAATTGTGAAGCCTATGATTCTCCATGATAGTTTACGTAGCGATTGAAATTAATTCCGTTTGCTGCATTTGAATTTTGATATCTTGAGGGCACGCTTTTGTAATGATCCGCTAAATCTTTACTTCTTAATGCTTAAACCCTTGATCATTCTTAAGTTCTAGATGTTCTAATTTTTCGCCCCTTCACTTTTCTTGTCTGCTTTTAGATTCTAAATGAAAAACAGGGGCAGCTATTCAAATATATGGTAAGGAACATATTTATCTTCAACCAATATTGATGGAGAAGAGAATTGTTCATAAATGGACCCAAACATCAGTTGACATGGATGATGAGCAAACCAAACCTGATGGTTTAACATCACTGGCACGAGTACCTCATATAAGAAGGAAGAGAAAGAGAAGCGACATTGACAATTTCGATGGGGTTAGGAAGAAGCAGAGTAAGGGTGTGAACCCTGTTGAGCAAGAGGTCGAGTCAGTTGATATAATCTCGGAGTTGCCTGAATCTGTTATTCATCATATCTTCTCATTTATTCGTTGTGCAAAAGAGGCTGCCCGAACTAGTATCCTTTCGAAGAAGTGGAGAGATGCATGGAAGTCCTTCTCCATTCTAACATTCGATGAGCAGCACTTTCTCAAGACGGAAGTCAATCTTGATAGCGATAAGCGAAGGCAATTGTTTATGGACTTTATCGATTACTCCTTGCAAAGCCACCTTGAACGGAACTTGAGCATTTACAAGCTAGTGTTTCGTATAACCCCAGAGCTGGTCCTGTGTCTGAACCGATGGGTCAGTATTGCGGCAAGAAATGGTTTAGGTGAGCTAGATATCCATGTCGAGGACAAGAGACTCAGACGTTACAACCTATCACCTTTCATGTGTTCTGCCAAGACTCTAACTGGATTGAGATTGCATGGTCTTAACTGGTCAAGTTTTGAGGGTATGAAGTTCAATAATTTGCGAAAACTGTATCTCCGTAGACTTCGTGTCGATCAGGAGATAGTCCAGAAATTGGTTTCTACCTGTCCTTTAATTATGGATTTGAGAATTGTAGAATGTAGAGGATTGAAAATTTTGCGGATTTCAGGTTTTCCAAAGCTTGAAAGGATTGACTTGCATCGATGCTATGGTACAAGAAGGATTGAGCTCCAAGTTACTAGTCTACAAACATTTTGGTATTGTGCAACGAAATCTACACGCTGTAAACTTAATTTGGAGTCCTGCACATCCTTGAAGAGGTTGACATTAGAGGACCCATATATGACAGATACTTTCTTCAATAAGCTACTTTCGAGCTTTCCAGACCTCGAGAAATTGGATCTTAGCAGATGCAACAAGTTTCTTTATATTGAAGTATCAAATTTACGGCTTCGGAGTCTAGTCTTGAGAAGTTGCAAGAATCTGAAAATTGTTGATATTGATACACCAAATCTTTGTTCATTTGACTATAGAAGCAACAATATGGCTTGTATGCTGGGTCAGTTGTGTCTAAAGGAGGCAAAATTTTCTTTGGATTCAACAGAGGAAGTTGATCTTCTACGTCGAAATTTAATTGTCAATTCATTTCTTCGCAAGCATTGTCGAGGTTTTAAAATCATCATCTTGGTTCAAAAGGTAACAATGACCTCCTGAAGTTTTTCATACTTGTTCCTGCTAACAACACACTTACCCATCACTTGTTTCCTCTTTCTTGCATATGATTTTGAATCAAGAATATTATAATTCACGACGATAGCAAAGAAATCTTCCTTCCTACTTTCCACCATCTCAAGATTCATGCAATCAAGTCGTCTACAGACGCCAAAGATTTAGTAGACAGTTTGTTATCGACATGGCACCCGGAGACACTTTCGGTACTGTCATCTCCTAGCAGCAATGTTCCAAAGGTAAAACCTTCACATTAGCCAAGCACAAATGAGACAACTTTGTACAACTCTTACACTACATTTTCTGCATTGAACATTGTCAAACTACTCCTGGATGTTGTTATCTTCTGTTTCCGAAACGTAGGCGGTGCGCGAGATAAAAAGAGAAGAGGACCCGAGCTGCTGTGGCTACAGCGCTTCAAACAACAAATGCTGGCGCCATTTCTTGGAGGATGCCGAGATCATGAACCGTGTGGAAATTGCAGATGTGTCATCAGTTTGGTTTCTTGATCTGAATTATCGGTGTAAGGAAGACCAAATGACCAGCATCCGACTACATTGGGAGCCTTCTGTGCATATTGGGAAAGCATAAGTTTTGATTTATTACCAAAAGAAAGATGATAAATGAGTTCAAATTTCTTTTCCTTCACATAATGTAATATTCTTGTCGAAAAACAAATCTTTTGTTCGCCTTTGGATAACTAGCACAACCACGGCATTTTCTGGTATATTGTATTGAATTTGTATAGTTGTGTTCAACAAAGTGAGAAAAATAAAGTCCCATTCAATAAAGATTTCTTTTTTAGTTTTCTGTTTTAAAAAATTATGACTTTTCACAATTTTTTTTCGTCAATTATGTTTTTCACCAACTTTAAAATACATTTAATTTTTTAGCTAATTTTTAAAAACAAAAATACAATTTTTTTTCTTTTCAAAATTTTAATGACAAGACAATGGAGATTAATTTTCAAAAACAGAAAATTAACACCAAAATGGTTATCAAAACTACTATTTCCTAAACTCTCTCCTCTGTTGATTCTCTCCCACTCTTCCCTTTGCCCGATCAGACCACCAAATCGAATCACAATTCAATCACTTGATTTTCACAATCCCATTGATTTACTTCTTTGTTTATGTTTTAAAGAATATATTTTGATCAGTTTCATTTTGGTTTGCAGAAAAATTAAGCCAAATCGAACTGTTTGCACCCTACATTGTATCATATGACTACATTAAATTGGTTTAAGCAAGAGAAATACGCAATCATCACAACATTAACTCTTCACACAACCAATTCGAACATAACTCAATAGGTTATCATTTATTACCATCTAAAAAATCGATAGATTCATCTTCACCACGATCATTCATCTTTAAAAAAATAATAATAGACAAATAGTTAGTCGTCAGATTTTAGGTCCTCACTGAAAAACAAATGAAAACTGAAATCATTGAACCCGATTATTAACAAACTGAAAAATTACATGGTTGTACCCCGTACCTTGAGATCACCCTGCTGCACCAACCTACCTAGTAACTCTGTTATGAGGAAATATTAGAGGATAACCCTTTCCCTTCCTACATAGGAGATGTCCTCCAAACTCCACTGTGATAAATACTAGAGTCTAATTTTTCAATCGTTTTTGTATAGTGCCTCCTAAAGTTGAGAATCAAGTCTACAATTTCTTGATAAAGTTTGCTTATTCTGCTGGGTTGGCTAAACTCTCGTAGCATTGAAACAGGTTTCTAAGATTTAGATCTCAAACTACACAAGTATTATGAATCACAAATTCACCATATATATGATTTAGACTTCTAAAATCCATTCCTTTGCACAATCTAAATACAGACTACACACAAACCAAACTTTCCAACCTTAGACTCGGTGTTTGAAAAGGCGAGAAGAAGCGAGGTGCAGTAAAGGGCACCTCTGCTTCAATAATAAAACAGATCCCCATTTGAAAGAGAAATGCAGCATGAATAGGAATAGACAAACTTGAAGACAACAATAAACCAGATCTCCCTTTGATTCAATCTCAATGTGTTTAATCTCGTGCCATTAGAAAACATAATTGAAAGAATTTACAAGCTGATGCACGGATGTCCCTAGGTATAGGGGAGCAAAACTCCGACTCCCAATTATGAAAGAGACAAAAAAACGTAGCCAATTAAAGAGAACACCTACTCTCTTGTTTCCTTTTACAAGAAACACCTGTATGAAACGAAAAAGAATGTGCAGCTCCAGAACGAGAGGACTATGAATTTTACGTGAAGATGACGAGAAGGTTACAGAAAAGATGCAATTTGACGTAATCAAAATAAAGGGTAATTGTAAAAAATTGGGAATATGTAACCAATTAGACACATCAAGCCTTGTCCAAGCCCAATGGTCCGTAGAAAAATCATGGTTTCGATCCTAAAAAAATCCCATCTCTCTCTCCACCCAAAACTTCCAGAAAACCAACAAAATAGAAAGCATAGCTCTGGATCCAAGAGTAGTTTCTAGAAACCTATAAAGTTTTTCCATAACACATCCCCTGAAGGTACGAGATATCTGTACGAGTAAACATGTATTCAATATCTATGGGTTCCATCTCAAAATCAATTGACAATGAAAAGCATCAGCTGTAATATGCAGCGTAGTATGCACTAAGCATATCACATGTATTATCAAATGCTTCAAATTTATACATACCATAAGTTCTTGTAGGTACTAAAACAAGTCAGTTCGGAAATACGTAGATTTTACAAATCGCATTGATGTGATATAGGATCTCATTCTAGTATAAATTGTTTACCCTCTGGCCTTAAGCTCAGCAAGCCGCCTCGATAAGTCGTCCTCGTCGATTTTCTCAGTCTCCCTGGTCGGCACAGCGTGAGCTGCTGGCTGTGGGAGACCCACAGAAACCTCCAATCCATAGTCGTCGGCTACCTGTTGCATCAAAGTGTTGACCTCTCCCTCCGGAGTGGACAGAGAAGTTGAACCCGCCATCGCATTCTCCATAAACTCAGCCTGGACCTCCATGTTCACAAACTGCTTCTCAAATTGATCCATGGTCTCCGACATCTTCTGCAGATTACCGGTCGCCAAAGTACTTTCCAAGGACTTGACGATCGAGCCCATAGACTTGTTAATGGTGGACATCTTCGCCTGCGTGTCGAGACGAGCCACAACGGCATCGAGCCGCGAAGCGAGTCGGAGATAGTTCATCTGCTCCGTACGCTTACGGATCGCGTTCTCAGCGTAAATTCGTGCCCCGTCCATGTTCCCCTTCTCCATAGCCTTCTTGATCTTAAGCTTCTCGGACTTCTCCTCCTTCTCGCACTTCCTCGCTTGTCGTTGCAGTGATTTCGCCGTAAATTTCAATTCCATGATCTGATTCAACAATTTCTCCGTATTACCCATGATCGCAACTGGAATAAATTTTCCGGGAAAAACAAGCTACGGATATAAATTTCAATTGGAAATCTAGGGTTTCCAGAGGAGGACGAAGATACGACGAACCTTGGCGATGAGTAATTGGCTTGGTTCTACTCTCTCCGTCCAAAATTAACCAATGGTTTGCCGTCGCACGTGTGGGGCTTTCTTTTACAATATTCTCTCCCTTTATAATTTTCTAATTACTGAATAATATCCTAATCAGCAGAAAAAGAGAAAAATACCTGATTTATTACGTAATCAAGTTTCCTAATCGAATTAACATAAGTAAAAGTATCGAATAATTAAAACAAAACTTTATACAATATGTTCTTTTGATGATTATATATAAATGGTATCACTTCTACGTATTTTTATGCTTTTCACGCTGTAGATTAGTCTTTTTTTTAATATATATATATTACCGATAAATGATATATGTTAAATTCAAATTTTTTACTCTTATATTTCTTTTATTGAAAAAGCAAATTCATTGGATATTCAAATCTCTCTTTGAATTACAACGTTCTAAAAAAACAAGGTAATTATGCTTTTCTAATTAATACTTTCAACCCAAATTAAGTTGTATTAGATTTTCATGTTTCCTAGACTGATCATGCAACCCTTAAATAAGGTATTGTTACGAGCAAATCAATTTTTTTTTCCACAAAGGGTGTTAACAAATTCCACAATGTTAAGATTAATTATAATTTACGTGCAATGTAGTTTTGAAAGGTATATTAAGGTTACTCCCCATTTGAGCTTAGCCAATAAAGGTATCTTACTCTTTTTTTTCGAGGTGGGAGGTCTAATCTCATCTCCCTAGTCCCTATATTTGATGTACTAAAAATACATCACAAAAACCATTTTTTCGCAAATTTATTATTACAAAATTTATAGATATGTTTTTTTATTGTTATAAAATTTGATAAGAAACTCAATATTTTAGTAAACATGAACCTAGTTCAACTAGTCAAGACATCTATCTCTAATCAACAAGTCGTGAGTTCGAATCTACAAGAAATAAACACAAGATTGTGAAAAATGTTAAAAAGTAAATTTATCCAAGGTCAATAAGTAAAATTTAAAATTTATATAGATATGATATCTTCATAACTAGCCTAACGTAACTAATTAACCATTAAACATACCATTTTTTTTAAGATACCCATTAAACATGCTTAATTATTTCTTAAAAAAAACATGCTTGATTGAGCAACAAGAGAACAAAGCTCCAAAATAGGCAACTATAATATAGCAAGTAGTAACTGCATAATATACAATTAACAGTAATTGATTATTTTTTTCTTTTTCTTTTCATTTGATGCCATAGGTCAACCCATCTAAATTATAAGTAAATATTAAAATTTTAGCATAGCTAGAAAAGGTACATCAATACCATGGAAAAGGTACATCAATACTGTCTTAAATGTTAATGGTTCTTTCTCCACCCTACTACTGTGGAACTAAAAAAATAAAAAATAACTGTCAACTAATTCAATTTTATAAGGTGAAAATCAGCAAATATTCTTTTTATTGAGCCTGAATGGATGTCAACGATTCAATTTCAATTTAACTATTTTAATGAAAAATAAAAATAAAGAACTACCAACATAAGGAATGGGTTGCAAACACCTTAGTAGCAAGGAGATTCTTCAGAGCTTTAGCTAACGATATTTCTTCGACGAGGAACATCTTTACTAAATTGTTTCAGATCTCTATATTTTCAAATTTTTTAATCCATATACTTTCGAAGCATTTATTTTGGCCAATGTACTTAAAAAAAGTGATTATTTTGATAATTTATTTTTATTAAAATTTTAGCATGATACTATCTCATTAAATATTTTGAAATGCAATCATAAATTTTTATCAAAATATTTCCGTCAGGTATAAAATTTAGGTTAAAATTTTGTAAATAGAGACCAAAATAGTAATTATTATATAGATCAAAATATACTTTGGATATTAAAATAAACAAAAATTGAAAGTAGATGACCAAAATAATATTAAAAAATATATATATTTCACAAATTTATTCACATGAATATAACACTAAAAATTGGAGAATGAAGAAAGCGATGTATATTTGACGGTAGTTACATTTTTTATGTCTATATATACACACACATATAGTTTCCATTTTCTGAAAAAGTCGAAATTTATGAATAAAGCTTTGAAAACATTTTGCAACTCTAATTTTAAAGGAAAAAAACAGTGAAAAAGCGAAGAAGGTGAACAAATATATATAATATATATATATTATATTTGTTATTATTATTTGGAGAAATGGAAACTTAAAAAGGAGAGAGAGAGAATTTCAGACGAAGAGAGAAAGTAAAAAAAGAAAACTGGGAAAGGGGAAGATGGTATTTGCACCTTGTTCTGCCTCAGGCACGCGTCACAGAGATCAACTGGATTTTCTCTCTCAGTTTCTTCTCACGAACAATTCCTAATTTTCCATTGCAGTTGGTTCGAGGAGCATTCGCTTCAACGCGCCACCGGAACAAGCTTCTCTCTCTCCCTTATCCACTGCCGAGAGTTTCGTCAGCAGTGGCTGATCAGAGAAACCACTTACGGGTGCTCGATCTCACTCTTTGTTTTTCGCCTACCGCAGCTCTTGTAGCTGGAACAAGGATTAGAAAGCTTGGCCGAAGAAATTTCTGCTCGGGTTGCCACTGCGATACTGTAAGTCTTGAATACTGAAATTATGGCTGAAGTTGAACTGCGTTTTATTTTAACATCTTCAATATTCGAAGATCGGGAAACAGCTCTGGGCTGTTCTCTCGAATTGGAAAACTGTTCTAATTACGAGTTTTCTTTAGCTGTTTGGTTGCTGGTTCTAATCTAAGTCTTTATGTATTGCTGGTAATTCAGGATTTCGTTCCCTTTTACTGTATTTCGGATGCAATTGACATGGGTTTTTCCTTTTGGTGGGGGGGGGTGGTGGTGTTGGGGTTCAGATTTTTGGGATAAGTCAGAAACTACACCTTGGCCCTCCTTGCTTGTTTAACGAATTTGTAACATTTTCGCTTAGACTAAAGGCTGCCAACTGATGGAGAAAGAAAGGTTGGAATCATGCCCTAGGTTATGTCGAGAATTGTAAAACTCAATCAACTTTGACGAGTCATACTTTTATAGTCTCTGGAAGCGTTTATTCCTTGATTTTTTCTACAGCCCCGTGGATTAGTGTCTCGAAAGTAAAAGTTTTATTCGGAAGTTAGTGACATGATTTCCTTCTGTTCCAACAGAAACAAAATATTTTGAGGGATAGGTGAAATTGACATGCTGGATGTTGCTACCGGTCGGCGGATTAGGTATGAATACCTCAATGGATGATATGAACTTGATTCAACAAGCACAAAGGCATCACTTGGTAGTTCGAGAGCTTGGTGAAGAGATTGATTTGGAAATTGGACCTGGAGATGATGATCCCTCGTTTGCTACTACTCCTATCATTGGTGGACCGGCACGAGAACCATCTGTCGAAGATCATGATGAGAGTAAGCATGTGGTATTGGTTTCTCAACTTTCCAATGATGACCAATATATGTCAAAAACGCAACCAGCCAAACGGAAGAAGAAGGTTGTGAAAAGATGGAGAGAGGAATGGGCTGATACATATAAATGGGCTTATGTTGATGTAAAGGATGGAACTCCCAGGATCTTTTGTTCTGTTTGTAAGGAGTATGGCAGGAAGCACAGGAGAAATCCTTATGGAAATGAAGGCAGCCGAAATATGCAGATGAGTGCACTTGAAGAACATAACAACAGTCTGCTTCACAAAGAGGCTCTGCGGCTTCAGATGGCCTCCAAGGACAAGATTATCGTTGATAAACCTATATATGTAAAAGGTAGGAGTTCTCCATGTTTTTTGATGTTCCTCATGTTATTTCTCCCCACTCTTGGGGTGAAACTAGGTATTCAATTTTGAAGGACCATGTTCCATAGAGAAAAAAAATGGTATTCTTTGAACAGAAGTGTTAATTTTTTTCTATTAAGTTATGATAATCGAAACTTTAGTATGTGTTGAGAAAATTAAGATGATGCTAGCACTCTACCATGAAGTTCCACCTATGATCTAAACCCTATAAGATTGGTGCTATGGACACTATACCATCCCTATTCTCTTTCTGTCATTTGATGTCAAGAAAATAAAAGCACAATTTTACTTGAAACCTTTAGTTTTTCCATGGTACTCATGTTGATGAAATTAACTTTTTGAAGATTTATGCTTCCATGTGCTTTACATCACTCTCGTACTTGCATTAAATAACTATGAAGTCTTTTACTTAATATTTTCTTACATTTGTCATTTTATGAGTTCTCTTTGCTAATTATCTTCAAACAAAGCTCTCATGTCCAAAACTGCTGGATCGATCATTGAAGCTGCACTGAAAAGGGATCCTCATGAAGTTGAATTCATACAAGCAGTACAAGAAGCAGTTCATGCTTTAGAACGGGTCATTGCAAAAAATTCTCAGTAAGTTTACCTTGAAATTTGAATATATAATTTTTTTTTGATCCTCCGTTATTTAAAATTAAAGATTGGGGACTTATAAGTCTTATTATTTCAGGTATGTCAACATTATGGAGCGCTTATTAGAACCTGAGCGCATGGTTCTTTTTCGAGTTCCATGGGTGGATGACAGAGGTGAGACTCATGTCAATCGAGGCTTTCGCGTTCAGTTTAACCAGGCTTTGGGCCCTTGTAGGGGTGGTCTTCGTTTTCATCCATCGATGAACTTAAGTATCACCAAGTTCCTTGGTTTTGAACAGGTAGCGGAACTAAATACCAGTATTCTTTTTATATTTACAAATGGTATACTATGTTAAATATCAGACTATCAGTTTGGATCTGGTACAATTTTATCCTAAATGGATATGAGCCGGTTATATTTACTTGGGGTACTGCATATCTTTGAAGTAAATGTTGTTTTGCTGTTTTGAGGCACGTGTCTCCAGGTTTTATGGAGTAGTGGTTTGTGATTGTGCATCGTAAAGTTTGTTGAGGAAAATTTGAGAACGTGGGCTGTTCACTTTCCAAATGACGTGAGGGAATGTAATCCTAGTTGCTTTCCTGTTTTCACTTCTTCTTAACCTTATATGGATTAAGTTCTCATTAATTTGGTATATATTATTCTGAA